AAAAAAAAAAAAAAAAAAAAAACAGAAAATGATATCACATAATTAGGTTGATCAACATATTGAATGACTTAAGTTCTGAAACTTTAACATAAAATTTTTCTCTTTGAACTTAGTAAAATCACCAAGTTTCAGCCTCAAACTCTTTACACACAATTTTAAAAAATCCAAGTACGATATCAGCAAAAACGAGCATAAAATTCAAAGCCTGATCCAACGAACGAATTAGCACGTGAGATTTTTACTGGAGCTAGATCAACAGTTAAAGACCAACATATAAAAATTCCATCAATTAAAATTGAATACACAAATTATGAAAATTCGTACAAGATTCAGAAATTTTACGAATTTAATTAAAACTGAACAAATTCCAATTCCAAAAATTTCAATATTTTTACAGCATGCAACTACACCTAAAATAAGCATCTCAGCCAAAAATCAGAATTTTTCAATAACTAACGGATTTATTATAAATAAAACAAATTCCTGTAGAATCTGAAAATAATTCATTTACCCTATGAAACTTACTCCTAAAATCCTAAAAATTTTACACAGCATATAGACATGACAGAGCCATAACATATTCAAATTTTAGCAAAATTGAAGCACGGACCAATTTAATAGGCATTTAACATATTTCTGTCCAGAAATCACATTAATTATTTAAAATAGCTACAGGCCATGAAAAATTATGAAATTTTTGCACAAGCTATTCAAGCAATAGTGGGTCACTCAGTTAAAATTTCATCCCAATCGGACAATCATGCGATTTATGGTGAATTTTACACATAAAACAGCAATTAAGAACTTTGAAAATTCATATCTCTCAATCTACAAATCGAAACGACACGAGGTCAAGACCATTGTGTCCATGACGATCCTAAGTTCCTAAATACACAGAAACTTAACGCTTTTAACGAGTTCTTATTCGATTCGCACGAATCGACGAAATTCACATTAAATCACGACAATAGTGTATATTTACATCACAACAAATTCATAAACAATTTGCATCATTGAGCACATTAATCCGCAGAGCACGATTATCGCATTAACGAACACGAAATTCAATCAACGAAGGATCAAGGTTCGATACCGTTCTCGAGAAGCGTGCGAGAATGGACCGAACGGTTTGACGGGACGACGGGCTCCAGGGTTTCACGCGTCTCGCTGGGAAAAGGAGGGCAGCGGCTGAACGAGACCTTCACGAGGGGCTGCGAGCCTGAGGATGACGCCCTGCGGAGGTGAGGAACACACGGAGGAGCAGGGTTGTCGGGTGGTCGCGTGGGTGCTCATCGAAAAGGGACTATCACGGCGGAGGAGCAGCAGGGGAGGGGTGCTCGTCGAGTTGCTGCGCAAGGGTCGCCAGAAGTGGTCTGTTCGCGTCGGGGTTCTCGCCGGACTGGATCGCGATGGTATGGCGATGGCCTGTGAAGTCGCGATTGATGGTGATCGGATTGCAAGCGCGAGAAGAGCACGATGATGATGGGAACGCATGGATGAGAGAAAGATCTCCTCTCTGAGGGTGACGTACGAGAAGGAGAGATCGAGAAAGAGAGTGCATTAATTTGCTACTGCGAGCGAAGGAGGTGAGGGACGATGGCGATGATTTTTCTAATCTGCGTGAATGTTGCGGGCGTGTTTTGTTGAGAGAAAAGAAAAAGCGAGAGAGATGGGAGAAGATAAAAAAATGACTGCAGAACATTAACATGTATATATAC